CACACACACACACACACACACACACACACACACACACACACACACACTAGATGAATAAACTCACAAGAACACCCACCTAAACAACAAACACAGCCACGCAGTCACACATAATGTACTGTATGTCTCTAAAAGAGGCTGCATGAGTACTCACACTCAGCCTTGGCACAGACCAGGCTGGCTGAGGGGTAGCTGAACGAGCGCAAGATGGCTCCTATGGCCAGGCTCAGGTCCTCGTTGCTAGGGTACAGAGTGACAGAGGCAAAGCGCAGGTACGGCAAGCGGGGAGTTTCCTCCGGACCGATCTTGACGTGAGGGATCTGACAGAAGGAGAGAGGAGAGGACAGGAGAGGATAGAGAAATATTAAGGAAGGCAAATGCATCCTGATTAGCTCCCCTCCAAGCACACACAGGAGGAAAAAAACGGAATATTGAAGCTCCATTAGAGAGGCTACAGGGTGAAATGAGAGAGACTTTAAGGATGAAAGGCTACGGGAAGAAAGGAGAAAACAGTTGGAACAGGTGGATGACGGTTAATTATATGAGAAGTCCTATAAGCAAGGGAAACCAAATTTAGATAAATTCATCACGACGTTTGTGAGTAGGAGGCGTAGTTAGACAGAGAGAAAGGGGTAGGAGATGTCTGTATGCATGAGACACCGATGCACACAGATTTGTACATATTTGTGTGTTTGTTTATCTTCCACACTCACCTCCTTCTCTCCACATATATGACTGACAGTAGAGCCAGAGGCGGGGCTGGAGGCGGGACCTATCACAGAGACAACGCCTTTGGGTAGAATCTGACACACTGAAAGGGAAAAGGGAAAAGTAAACATTGGATATGCAGACACATACCTTTCGCTCTGATCCATTTTGATGGCAGCACAGAGTTGGCATACAGTAGGGGCTGTGGTCCGGGGAAAGTGTTAAAATGCAGCAAAAAAAAGAGGATGCATGAGGGCTTCACTTTACCCGCTGATTCTATTGTAGCAGCACAATCCGTCTCATTATAATCTGATTTATTTTGCGATAAATACTCCAAGGACTACAGCAGGGCAGGCCAGGCGTTGCCTGCTGCAATAATTCACTTCTTTAGACAGCTGCTTTTAATGATTTTTAGGATTTCTTTGCTTTAATTATATCACTGGCATCAGAATAATACTAACAGATTGGTGGGTTGCCTTCAATTAACAAATGCCATTTTGTATCATAATCTTTTTGCAGGAAGACATTGATGTGGGGGTAACTGTTTTACACGTTTGTGTATTACAATAAGTACTTTGCTCAAGTAGTGTTGAAGTAAACTCTATGATTCAGTGTACAGTCTGTTCAAGCAGAGATTTCAGCCTTTGAAACCTCCACATGATCAAAGTATTGATATCCATGTATCCAGGCTTATGTGAAGAAACTGATTTCAGACCTTTTCATGATACATTTCTGTCAGCACAAAAAAAGCTTTATGTTAGCTTGTATAATTGATGAATGACACTCATTATCTCACACCTTTTGTCCCAAATGCCCAACGAATCAATGCATAAAAAGATGAGGCTCGGGTATTGTCTATTCTTTTGAACCATGAAGAAGATCAGCTACGGTTTTTTAATCGTTTCATTAGAAAGTCATGTGACTGAGCGTACCCGAAAATTGTTGCCACATACGTCTCCACTATGTTGAATAGAGACATTCATGATTAAATGTAAGTAACAGACAAGCCGTGTTCATCGTCTGTCTGACACCTGACCAGCCTGCAGTCTCTGTTAACTGATCAATACACTGATTCACTTTCTTTCTCAGGAATCAGATAAGAAGGCTAACGTCTCATGCCCGTACAATAAATATGAAGATGCGCTAAAATAACCCGACTGAAGCCTGTAGTTTTGGATTTAGCCTACAGACACGAAAGTGATCTCATCTAACTCTCAGCAAGAAAGAGCGTCAAAGAGTACATGTGGTAGAGAGCATATGCATCATCTGTGTTACAATAAATAAGGGGGTCCTTGGAAAATCTTCTCCCCTGTAAAGGGACCCCGGCCCAAACAAGTTTGAGAACCCCTGCTTTAGCATACAGAGGATACTTCCCTGTTTTTGTAGAGTATATTTTATTTGTCCGGTAAGTTCATTTTTGTTCAAGTTTTCTGTCTACTCACCTAAAAATTGCTTTCACAGATACAGCAGCCATGGGTCTGGTGACTTAACTGTGTTCGTCTGATAGTCATGAGCTCTTTTCTTGCTGGCATATTTGGTTGGTATTTTAATTCATCCCAATTAGTCCTCTTCAGTCCTTGCCACTGTCTGTTTGTGTGTGTCCCTGTATATGTGTGAGCGTGTATGCCCAAGCTGTGGCCGTGTGTGAATGTGCATGGGTGTCTGCAGAAAAGGGAAATGGGTGTGTGCATGCATGAGTAAATGCCTGTGTATGCTTGTGTGTGTGTGTGTGTGTGTGTGTGAGTGTGTGCGCGCGTGCAAGCCTGCCTCAGAGAGCCGTAGCTGTAAGATGATGAGCTCTCTGATCCAGAGACGAAAAAATGCTGCGAGCAAACAAGCCTATCAGAGTCTCCTGCCCATCGGTCAAGGGCACACACACACAATTCATGCATGCACGTATGTACACGACCCCTCTCAAGCACACATAGACATTTTGCCAGTAGCTTGTGGCAGGGTTAGTGACCTATTAGAATAGGAGCAGAGCGCCTTGTCTCCTCTGTGACTGGATTCAACAGTACTGCTTCTGTCTTCACAGACTCCATACATTTTGTTTTAACTCTGTATATCAATAAAAAATTCCACGGAGCGGCTGTGCTCTGTGCTTTCTGCTGTCCTGCACTGCTGATCTGTATTAGTATTTGATGATTTGTTTTTGTCGTGGCAGACACAGTAGGAAGTGCCAGCTGTTACTGGAGGGCACTGGTCCACTGTTTTTAATGAGACAGGCTTACTGGCCCATTACTGGTCTCCAATGATGTGTAAACTAATCAGCACAAGCCCTCTCTGGCTCCTAATCACTTGAAAGTGGAGGAGGTTTATCGTTCTGGTCATCATTTGAGGATTTTGCTCACAAAAAGGCAGTTTTTCAGGAAAATACCAGCTCCCCCTTTTTAAGTGGAATAAAACCTGAAGTATTCTGTAGACTACTGTTCTTTTATACTCTATAACGGTCACTATTAATATTAATAGTCCACATTAATAATAAGATCTACTGGTATTTCCAGTGGTCACTCTCTGCCTGTGCTAATTAGAGACTATGCCCTACTGGACTATAATGGATTTAGCAGGACTTAATCACTCTGATGGGTTGGGTGAATCTGCTCTACTGGTTCTCTGTGGCATGCATCGGCCCCACTCACTGGTGTCAGTAGTGTCGTACTGGGAGTCTTTTTGCAGCTCGTATATGTCCACCTCCACTCGGGCTCTGGACGGACCCTCCATCACGCTGTTGATGTTCTCCCTGGCAAGGGCCAGCGCCAGCCGCTCCCCACGCCCACAAACAGACTGGTCATCCAGGATTGCCGCTAGAAAGGCAGAGAGGGAAGGAGAGATTGTTTATGGTCTTCTCATCTAACTCACCATCAGAAAGCAAATAAGTGTATATTCCAAAATATCAAACATTTTCTTTCATGTTTATAATTGTGATTAGGTTGCTGCAAAGCACAAGTCCTTAAGTCTGTGATATGTTTATAATATTGTGTCTAGCCTCTGTGTACATGAGTTGTTTCGTAAGACAAAACATTTTGTGTTTACAGAATTCTAATTTGCATACTGGATTTAAGAATCCAGTATGCAAATTACAATAAATCTGGAAAACGCACTGCTATTTAAAACATTGAAGAGTATTGTTGCAGGTGTCAGATCTTCCTGCTCCTGATGGAAGCTTTTTTTGGAGTAAGCACTTTTATGCTTAATACTGCATATATACGACTTAAATAATTCCAATAAGATCTATCAATCTCTCTTTGCATGGGGAATTACTTTTGCTGTGTAAGGACAGTATGGACACCAATAGGTATATTATTAATGCTCATTTGGCAAAGTGCTTTGCTGTAACTTTATCTCTTACTGTCCTGACCAAAGTGGCAAAACCCCACTTTGAGGCACCAGAGCAAAAACAAACCATGACAAGTATGTTGAGAAACTTTTTGAACCAGGTGTAGTAAGGATGGATGGACGGCTGGCCACTCACCCATTCGGACGGAGGAGAGCAAAGGGGCCTGACTGAGGGAGCTTGGCAGCATGGTGACTAACAGGAAGGGGAGGAAGTGTATTGACAGCAGCAGTGCTGGCAGAGCCGGCATCTTCTACTGCTCCTCATGGAGAATGTTCTGCTGGCTGCCTGTACCACCACCTTCAGGATCGGAGGACACATTGCACGTTATTGGACACAATCATTCTCCTGGTACAAGATGTCTCTCTTTAAATTGTCATCCTGCTGCTTATCTTCAGTTTGCTCTGTCACATTTCCATGTAGTGGGACCACCTGTAATTTGACAGCACATACAATAGACTTTCATATTGAGCTATGAAGATGTTCCCTGTCGTATCACAGAGGCAGCCGAGTCCCGTGCACACTCTCTGTCTAATAATAAAATACAGTACACACATAACTATACACGTCTGGAGAGTCTGCCGCTTAAAAGTGACAGGACTCAGCCTTGAAGAAATCTCCAAGGCGTTCAAAGACGACATCACAACAGCTGGCACACACGTCGCCGCACATTCATTCATACACATCTACACTCTGTAGACACACACATGCGTATATAAAAAGTAAGCCATACAAACAGATACACAGTCACATACTAGAAACACTTTGTACAAACGTACAAAGAGACTCCCAAGTACGAAGGCAACGGCCTTGAATACACATACAGCCATGTACTATACACCCACACACGGTGAAATCCACTATGCCCACTTCCAAACAGACACGCAACCACCAAAAAGAAGGACTCAAAGAGAGCTCAGCTGAGCTGCACTGGTGCTAAGCAGCGCTCTTGAGGAGTGACAAGGCCTTGCTCTGACGGACATGTTGACGAGGCAGTGCGAAAGGATGGAGAGCTGTGTGACAGACAGACAGTGAGGTTGAGGTGGTGTTGGTGGGGGCTGTTGACCTGGGAATGTTGCAAAAGTCTGGTTCACCGATTAGAGCTTTAGACAGATCAGACAGACAGCCGAAAGACTCAGTTTATGACCTCTAATTGGCCCTTGCAGCTGTAAACACAGGGATGCTGGAGTGGCAGAAGGCTGACCTTTGACCCTGACAAGTACATGAGGGAAAGGAAATGAGTTGGCGTTGTGTGTTTGTGCACACACTTGTGTATACATCAAAGAGGAAGATGATGCAGGTTGTCAATCACTGTGTTGAACGCCCCTCCCACCTTCATTCTTCCTTTTTTTCTATCCAGCCTTTTCACTTTTAGATCTTCATTTAGTCTGTTTTCTCACCACTCACCTTTCCAGCACGTCTTTAGGCTTTGATGTTTAAAAGCACATAAAAAAATCTGCAACCCTCTGCTTTAAATCCCTTTTCACGTCTCATAAACCAACCATACTTCCCCTTTTCTTCTCCTTTGCTTTCTATGCAATTACTGCTTCCCTTTCTTCCTGTCTAACTATACTTGTCTCTCATTCTTGTGTTTGCTGTGTCAAAGGGTGGGCAAGCGCGTGCACGAACATGTCTGTAATACTAATAGCATGCGCCATACTGTGCAGATGGCTGTGTTGCTCTCATTATGGTTACAGCAGCTCAAAGTGAGCAGAGGCAGCGCTTATGCGAGGCCATTTTTATGTGAGACACAACATAGAATAACTGGCCCACAGTGGGAGTATTTTTTTCCATTCTTCCTATTCAATAAATCATTTATGTTGCAACACTACATTACATTTAAAAGGGAAAATAAATCAACAGTTATAAGCTTCTGTCATATTTGTGTGAATATTTATAATGGTGTACATGTACAACAGAGACAGTCATGCAACAGCTGATTATTCTGACCACACAGCGAGACGACTACGCCACACTGCTGTCACAAAGTACTCCATCGTGCCGGCTGTTGCTACTGTATTCTGTTTGCTCCCCACATCAGTGGTCTCTTTCTCAATTTACTCTTCATCAAAGTGTGTCTGCATGCTTGTGTGTGCATGTGTGTGTGTGTGTGTGTGTGTGTGTGTAGCATGTGCGAGTGTGATGGCATATTGATCGAGCCCAGCTGAAGTGGCGGGCTTTCAGGTGCAGTCGATCAAAACAATGGGATGGGGAGCCTATCATGGGAGCACTGCATTTCACAGGAGCTATCTGATTGGCTATTACCAAGAAGCAGATTGCCATGATGACAAATAAGATCCTAACTTAGGATATGCCTTCATCAATGATGGGATGGAAGCGGTGGTATTTCATTGTTATTGAGAGCTATTGACAGCATTAGACAGAGAAGATTACAGCATATATACTCAAAGCAGAAGAAGGGGGTGGAGGAGATGGAGAGCCGTGATAGAAGTAAGGAGAATGAGAAGCAGAGGGAACGGTGCTGGGGACGATGAGGGAATTAAAGAACAGAATTGAATACAGAGAGAAGAGATTGGAAAGTGTTTCTGCAAAAAGGGATGCGGAGCAGGATAGAGAGAGAAACACGGAACGTAACCTCGTACTGAAGGGTACACTCGTACTCGTACACTCAGGTATACTCGCTGCATTTCAGAGGGAAACATTTTAGTTTTCACTCAACCACTATTTATTGGACAGCTACTAGTTACTTTGCAGAAATAAGATGAACCTACAAAATACATGGTTCATTTATAAAATAGGATGCATCGTTATAGTATATTAAGTCATTAAAATGATCTCCACCTCACCAAGTCGCCACGTTAAAATGCTGCTTTTACATTACAGTAATTCACAGGGATCAATAATAAAAGGTAGTATAATGGGGACACTCAGAACAGTCACACTGCGCCGTCTTTACTTCAGCAGCTAAACCCGGTTTATCACGATGTGTTACGCTTTAAGGTCAATCACAAATTTCATACCCGTCACTGCTGTGTAACTAATTTGTATGCACTCTCTTACCAACAAGAAGAAATAATCATCACATCGTATTCATTTCTCAAAGCACTACAGCTAAAGCTTCTAAACTACCTCAAATCTCTCCTCTCTCCGCAACTTAACTTAAGTCTCCTGTTCTCAGGTCTCTCTTGAAAAAAAGGGGGCTCTTTTGTGTAATGAGGACTTTTGATGAATTACTGTTAGTATAATGTACCTCTAATACTTCTTTACTTTGGTAACATTTTTAAAGCAGGGCTATTTTTACATTGTGGTATTAGTGGTTTTACTTAAGGATCGGAGAACTTCATCCACCACTGCAGGAGAGAGGCAAGTATACCGTGTTAGTGAAGGGGGGAGGGAGTCAGAGGTAATTCAGTCAGAGAGACAGAGAGAGCAAACGGTGAGATGCTATTGCCGTGTTTAATCTGCGAGGACTGCGTGTCTGGCTGATGTATGTCCTCTGTTGTTGTAGTAGAACATGGCCGAGTCCCTGTAGCAGTTGGGTGTCAGTCTGCAGGGAGCCGGAACAGCAAGAGGGCCAAGCGGAGCCAGACTAGTCTGAGCTGTACAAAAAAATACTGCTTCTTGCCCCCCTCGCTCGCTTTCATTCTGCACCCTGCTGTAAATCACCCGGCACGCTGGCACCACTGACAAATACACAAAAGCAAAATACATAAATATCCAGACTCGCTGTGTGCGAGAGAGAGAGAGCGAGAGAGTGTGTGTGTGTGTGTGTGTGTGTGTGTGTGTGTGTGTGTGTGTGTGTGTGTGTGTGTGTGTGTGTATACAAGAGAGAGAGAGAGAGAATTGAGAGTGTGAGAGGGAACATTCATCCTAGTTGGAGATTTAGTTGTTTGGTGCATGTATTCATCTTAGTGTGCATAAAGGCATATGCATTTGTGTGTGTTTGCTGCTCAATGTGTGTGTGTGTGTGTGTGTGTGCGCGCACAGGAGACTTGGCGTCTTGCTTATAGTGTCTGCAGTGCCTATTATGAAAGAGAACACCGTAAAATCAGAGATCTTAATTATCTAGAGAGAGCGTGAGGGAGAAGGGGGGAGTGTGTGGTAGGAGAGGGAGTGGAAGCAAAGGGAGGGCCAGAATGGGATGAAGGGAAGCAGGGAGGGGGGGGGGGGGAGAAAATCGGAAAACGAGGGAGCGCTATCTCGCCTCACACCCCCAGGCAGATGAGGAGAGGATGAACAGAGACTAAGGCAGAGGAAGCAGGATGAGGGATAGCAAGGGGAGAAGAGAGGGATGCAGAGAAAGACAAAAAGAACTGAGATGGAGAAAAGCAGCTGGGGGGGGGGATGAAGGAGAGGAGAAGGGTGTCGGTGGGGGGGCTGGCAAATCATTTGTTTTTCCCCTTCTGCCTTATTGTATGACACAAGGAAATCTGACAGTTATCACAATGGAAGGATGAATCATTCCCATAATTGAATTTGCAAGTGGAACGGCTACAGAGGCTGTGGATTTAAGACGACTCTACCGCCGGCCATTACGGGACAGAAGTGTTATATTTTGCTCATTCTTCTCACAATTAAAAGTCATTGTTGACGAGAGAGCGCCTGCAGACAACCGGGCTGCTGTCCCTGAATGAGCACGCTGAGGCCATTTCAGAGCATTTGTCTTCCCCCCAAACAATATGGATGAGCAGGGAGGTCGGGTTGGTGTGTGTGTGTGTCAGTGGTAGAGGAAAAAATACCAAGGACCTTCTGTTCACCCCTTTTGGCTTTTTGTAGGATTAAGTGTTTAGTACTTTTTGTCTGCATCTAGCATCAAAGCGGCAGCACATGTTCTTGGTCGCATTGACTCAGCATTTCCACTTTGCACCCATTCAAACTTCCTCCATCTCCTCTCCTCTTACATGTGTCTAATCTCACCATCTCTGCCTTTTACTTTTTATCTCACCATTGTCCTCCACGCTATACAACCATCTCCCTGTTCCTCTTACCCCTTTCGTTTCAGTATTTCCAATTCTCTCTGAGGATTTTTACTCTCACCTCTCCTTCTTGTTGCCATACGGGCTTTTGAGAATTTGTATTTGAGGCATGCCTGTAAGGTGAGGTTAAACATTTGGAGCAAATATGATTTATTCATGTGATGTTGCCTGCCAGGAAGCTGGTATGTATATCTTAAATAGGATTTTTGAAAATGTTTACTTGACTGCAGAATGCTGGGTAAAAGGTATAATCTTAGCTCGTCCATACGGAATAAGAAACAACAATAACAGGAACAGCTATGACAAATAATGC